CATTTCAAAAGCGTCCAGTTTATTTTTATCCGCTTTCTTTAAGGTCCACGTTTCGGATGCATATGTGGCTATGGAAAAAATGAGCGCCCTTACCAGCCTTAGTTTTGTGTGTATTGTTATGCTAGAATTTTTCCAAATTGCTATCAGTTTCATCATGGCTGTTCTAGCAATAGTCAACCTTCTACGTATTTCTCTGTCACACCCTCCGTCATTTGTTATTAGGGACCCCAGGTATATGAAAGCATTTACTACTTAAAGACTTTTGTAATCGATTCTAAATTCATATAAATCAAAGAAAATGTTGAAAATGCAAAAAAATTAATGAAAAAATAAAAAAAAACGGGGACCAACCCGGTTTTGAACCAGGGATCTCTCGATCTGCAGTCAAATAGGTACTCTATCACTGAGCTATATCCGATGTTACTGTTATACGCATTGGATAAAGATCTTCACAATATCGCCCTTGATCGAGTAGACCATTTCTCCCATTTATCATGTCAGAGGCAACGATTTCTAGGTTATGTTGTATATAAACAGTCTAAGAAGGCAGAATATATCGAAAAATACCTCGTGGACTAAGCTTCCTAAACCAACGTATACTAATCCATGCATTGTATAAAAATTATTGAGCACCGAAAATAGTTTTGCACAAATTACTTACGGTTTTTAAAACAGGGCTGGTTTTCACAACGTGCTCGCTGTATAAATGATAATAAACTGTCAAAATGTAGATTTACAGAGACATCTGTGAACCGGAAAATGAAATAAAGCGTTTCACCATTTCACCCGATTCACTATATCATCCTGAATTACCCTATAATATTATAATAAGTTAATTATGCACTGAACAAACCGAAAAAATTCGAAAATATCAAGAATCAAAGTTAACAAATAATGGTGATCGCTTCTATTAACGCAAAATCTAAATTAAATACGTGCATCTTACGTCGGGTCATAGGATTTGGCAGGACCCTTACGTGAGGTTCACCAAAAAAATATAATTAAATTGAAACAATTGAAAGCAACATTATTATATCTAAATTCTGAAATCAATTATTTATTCTCATTTAATTAATCTAAAAATTAAAAAAGACAACTAGCTTTATTAGCGGTAGGTACTTGACTGTCAAGTCCTGACCTGTGTCACTAGCCGTGTAGGATTCAGGACTAGGTGAATATCATTTTTGAAATGCGAAATCCATCTGCATAAGCGTTCACGGTTGCCATGGCAACGTGACGTCAGCATATCCTTAGTGATAGCTGAGAAAACTGGCGAGTGCAGTTCCGTCTAAAAATTCATTATCCGTCTTCACTACCACTGTTTCTCTTGGCGACAATATTTTCAAATTTAGTCTATTATATAGATATTTTTATATAGTATATAGTATAGTATTTATTAGTTTAGTTTAGTCACAGTATTAATTTCATTTGTTTAGTGCACTTTATTAATACATTTCTCTGTGGTTTGTTTCGGATTTCGGATATAAAGTGTGGATTTCGTTTGAACAAAAATAATTTTAGACAGACATGAATCCAATTAATGACTTGGTGTGTAATATATTAGAGACTCCGTTTAGGCATTGCAAAAATGAAGATAAAAGGGATGTTCTTTTACATGGTAGACCAACCAGTATTTTAAACATCTGCGTCTGATCCAGAGTGGTCGGCTGCAATCAGCATCTGACCCAGAGTGGGCGGCTGAATCGAAACTGACCAACCCGTTTTAGCAGGCGTGGTGTTTTAATCGCCAAAAAACCCTCAATGAAATGTCAAGGTTCAGAACTAAAATACCCTAGGCAAGCAGAACGAATCGTATCTGAAAAACTTATTTAAAATCCTTTATAAAAGGTATATAATAAAATGCCCAAACGGGCTATAAAAAAAAATATTACAAAACGTTTTCGGATTGTTTAATCCATCATCAGTGCAAACGAGGTATACATGCTGTGAGCCACCAAAATATATGGGTCAAAACCCTTTAAATGATATAAATTTACAGTTGCTTTACATTATATGTGGTTACAAATTATGATGTTTAAGTTACCGTTGGAATTGGTAACATGGCGACGTATGACCCTACATAGGTAAAATGGTCCTGAGACCATGTTGACCAGATGTTGATAACACTCAACAGGTCCTCGAAGACACTTCGTCTCAGGACCATTTTACCTATGTAGGGTCATACGTCGCCATGTTACCAATTCCGACGGTAACTTAAACATCATAATTTGTAACCACATATAATGTAAAGCAACTGTAAATTTATATCATTTAAAGGGTTTTGACCCATATATTTTGGTGGCTCATAGCATGTATACCTCGTTTGCACTGATGATGGATTTAACAATCCGAAAACGTTTTGTAATATTTTTGTGATAGCCCGTTTGGGCATTTTATTATATATATTATATATATATATATATATATATATATATATATATATATATATTATATTTTATTATATATTATAAAGGATTTTAAATAAATTTTTTGTGATATATGGTATACAGCCAGCCACAGGAACTTAGTCTCTAGTGGATTTTTTGAATTGTATCTAGTATAAGTGCCCTAAAAAACTGTTTTCAAGTTATTAGGGCCCTAAACTCTATACATTTTTTTAACGAATTTTTAATAAGATTTGGGTGCGAAGTAGGTACCAAAACTCCTTTTGGCTCCGGCAAGCTTTCCTCATCTTCACCACTTTTTTAGGAAACGAGCCGCCGCTGCAAACAGTAAATTTTTTCAAACTTCGTGCAGTGGTTTATAAAAAAATTCTTTTCAAAACCTCTGCACTAGTAAGACATTCAGCAAATTTTCTTCGAACTCTATTCTGTTTCAGTGTTTCTGGTTTTTTTTTATTACCTTTTTAGTGCTGGTAATAATGAGAGTTCCAAAGTTTTTTTGGTGTCACATCTTTCTGTATGGTGGCTAGACATACTGGTAGAATTTACATCAACTGACTGAAAGTTGCGATTAACCTGAAGTTCTAACTTTTTTGGAAAAATTGGAGCAGTTCTTTCTTGTTGTAGATCTGGAGTGGACGTATGCGCTGATGACACTCTACATTTTTATAATATCTTATCCTCATTTAAAGGATAAATACCTGACCCTACAAATTCGCCAATTGTATTTGCTCTCGAGAAGCATCCTGCCTCGAAACAAGCAACGGTTTAAGCAATGAAGGAAAAGTAATTTTGTCTATATTTTTGCATCCTGTAGCACGATAATAATCTTTTAATACATTGCGCCACTATTGCTTCACGGTTTGAAACAATCCCACATCTAAGGGTGGCTAAGCGTGGAATGTGTGGACCGGAAAACACAAAATTTCAATATTATTGGCACAGGCCATTAATGGAAGAGTTAGTGTGAATTGTCACCATAAAATATTAGAAGTTTAGGGCCTTCCAATTTTGCAGTATGTTGAATGAAAACGTTTTCAAACCAATTGGCAATCTGAACTCATTGCATCCATCGCGATGGCGAACAGTTAAATACAACATCGTCAGGGCCGTTTTGGCAACAGGTGCATACCTTTATAATTAACAAAGGTAAATACTCCTCTTGCACTACAGCAAACTAGAACATTGTACGTTGATTTTGTTACGGTACGTACAACTTTATGTGGATTTTTAGATCCTTTTCGACATAAATTTTTTTGGTTTCCATCTTTTTGCGTTTCGGCATAGTTGAAAACCAGATCTTCTTTCTTTCTAAACCATTCTTTTCAATAGTGTTTTTAAGCTGTCGATGCCTAAAACTTCACGTGAACAGGCTTCGGCGCGGTTCTTGGGAAGGTTTTGAGCAATTCTACAACTTAGTGGGTCTTTCCAACGTGTCTCAATCCCTGCAATAAAAAATACTTGTTAATTATTAAACTCATCATAAATTAAAAACAAATATGTTTTATTCTGTCAGTTTGTTTTAGGTAATCTTGTACACAAATTTTTAACTGCATTCGATCAAATCCAAATCCCCAGTCTGCTAATTTAATAAATCTGTTAAAAGCCACAAACAAATTATATTTTAGGTTAAAAACCGAAAACACTACATTACAAGTATATGAATCTTAACTTCCAAAAGTAACAGGAGTGGACGGGTGGAGTCTATCAGCACATATTTTCAAATATCTCAAAACCGAAAAATAAATTTGTTCTAAAAGTATCCCCATCAATTGGAGTAAGCAATTATTGAAAGGTACTGAAAAGGTCATTTGTATAATATAAAAAACAGTTAAAATGCAATCATTTTTCATTCTTGCATGGACCAATAGACCACACCCGTCCTCTCCCGGGTTAAAATGACAATCATTTTTATGCGCTGAAACCGAGTTACGATCGAAAAAGCTTCGAAAAATTCTTATTTTGTAACCATTTTATCTCGTGTTCTAATTATTGGATTAATGTTTAGTGAACGCAATTTTCTTTATTGTTTATAAGGAACAAATGTTATTATCTCTTTTATATATCTCTTTTAGTTTACGAGCTAGATCTTTGTAGACAATTAAATTGTTTATACCTTTTGTTTGACCACTCGTATCGAACTCCACTATCGAAATTCGTAATTAGCAGCCAAAAATACATAAAAAACCACTTGAGTGGATCTATCGCAATTGAAAAGGCTATTATGGCTCTTAGCTGGCCTCTAAACTATTTTGTTCTTCATAGTTCTGTAAGAATAAGTAAGACTATAAGTCTAAAAAGTCATATAATAGTCATATTCTGGACATGAACATTCCCTATTGTTGTTAAAAAACTACAACAATTGTAACAACTACGAGTGTCAAAGATGAGATATTTTCTTTGGGGTTTTCTCTGGCTATAAAAGATAGTGTTTCACACCATATATATAATCTCAAAACATGTTGTCCTCTAAAAACAAACAATTTTCGTTAGACAAAAGCCCGCTGCGACAAATTCCGATTAATTACCCCCAACCATACTAGCGTACTACAGTTCATTAAAAAATATTTATGTTGTGATTAAAACGATCTGTTGCAGGGCCAGACCGGGGTACGCGGATTTCCGGGATTTCCGGTGTGTTCCATTTGTTTTTGTTGTAGTGCTGGTGGTGGCATTCTAACCTAACAACCTACAGGGTATATCACACGAAAAAGTTAAAAAGTCAAATTAATTAGCTATGTTTTAGGAATTTACGTTAGTTTTTTAGCGATGTTGTTAAATCACAAAAGTTTGGCTGTGTTTTTAAAAAGTTTATATATTTATCGTGCACTGTCGACAAGTTATGACATATTTCTTACATTTTCGGAAATCTTATGTGGAAAATAAATCTAAGTAAAAATAAGATAAAATTCTAGATACGATTTAGAAAGTACAAATCTTCAAATGCCAACTATCAAAATTTGAGCTCAATCGAATCATTAGGCTATACCTAAGTAATCCTGTACTTGCAGGGCTAGTATAGTAAAATAAACATAGAGATTACTTAAACTGAAGGTGCCTAATTTTTCTTCCTCAAGAAGCTGTCTCCAAGGGTAGCGAAACATGATTAAAAAAAATACGGTTGATTCTGAATCTGGCTGTAAAAATTATTAAAAATTATTAAAATATTTAAACTGTTTGTCTTTGTGTTAATGTAGTGTTATGTACAATTTATGTCCAATCTCATGTTTATTACATTCTACGCTTGCTGGATAGCCCAAATTTGACGAAATGCCCCTGATGATGATGTAGATAGCGAAAGTACTTGGGCAAGATTTGATTATTAAATTTGTGCTCGATATTTGCCTCGATTTTTCAAAGTTTCATTTATTCGAGCATTCAACCTCATATCAATTATAAAGCTGTTAACACTGTTTTACCTTTTCGTCACTATTATATTATGTAGAAATTGGTGTAAAAGATGTTTTATATTAGGTATCTCTCTTAGTAACTTATTTTCGATGTTTGAATAATTCTTTAAGGATTTTGACCTTTTTCTCAAAGTCTCACTATCTCTTTATGTCTTGTGTCTCTATTTCGAGAAGTGTATCTCTTTTAAATCTCCACACATTTAAAAAAAAACTCATTGTCGCCAAGACTGAGATGTAGTGCATAAAAGTCCTTCCCCTTTTTAAATTTAATGTTTGTTTCGTCCCTTCTAAGTGTTTTATGTTCCTGTGTGTTTAAATTGTCCTTAATGGTTTTAACTTTAATATTTTTATATAGTTGACTTTGCAATAATCTACCAATTTGCCAATAGAACTTTATCAAAGAAATTTGATAATTACAAGTTGAAAGAATTGCACACCCACACAATTTGTACATCTAATCTTATTCATTGTCATAAAACTGCCACCTTCATAAAATAAATACTCAATAAATAACACACATTTAATAAATATATCTCTTGAATATGTATAATTAACTTTTAAATAATACAATGGTATATATAACATCACTTTCATCTAACAAACAATCACATCTACACCTATCTCTACTTCATTGGATCAAATCTATCTCCTCAAGAACTTCCCGTTTATAGTCAAACAACAATAGCAGACTTAAGTTCTCCATTTAACAATACATAATAGTTTCAACCATGTTCTACCATCCATCAATTAATAGAGTACCGGCATCATTTATTTAACTTTGTATCGAGACCTGAAGATGCTTTGCACATTGTAGAAAGCGAAACCGGTCGTCTGATAGTTAAATCTAATTGATTGTGAGTAAGTCTTATTTATTATTTCTTTACCTATTTGAAATGGACTCACACAAGCAACACATTCATAAAAGATTTGATAATTTTATTTTCAAAGGCAATAAAATGTTGTTAATCTTTTAGTCATGCACCACGTTTCACATCTATATAGCACGACTGGTCTTATCATGGTATTATATACATTATTTTAGCTTTATGAGAAAGGACCGGGATTTAAACATTTTGTGTAAAGCACCTTCTACTCGATTACCACTCAGTATTCTAGATGTATCTCTTTACTGACCTCATTAGTATCGCTGATCGTACTACTCAGATATTTAAACTCTTTGATATTTTCGAAAGGCTCATTATCAACTGTCGTTTGATTCATGCGTCAACTAATCTTGCTCATTCGTGAAACTTTCAAAAACTTTTTCATCTAACAGTTATGGTTAGTTCTTTGCTCTTTGCCTCGAAGTAAAAATATCATAAATTTAATTCTCAATTTTACTTTTGGAGAGCAGGGCAAGTTAATATGCGCGCAAGTTGATAGAGCAGGGACGGTTAGCAGACTTAGGGATAACCATAATATGGCAACAACGCCCTGGTTCACATTATTTATGAAAAGACACGATCGACTATCAATCAGAGAACCTAAAGCTATGAGCCTTAGCCTGCAAATAGCTATAATAAAACCAATGTTGCCCTATTTTTTTTAAATTTTAAATGCGTTTTGGAAAAGTACAAATTTGAAAACAAGGATATATGGAATGTCGATGAAACCGATGTGCAAATAATCATCATCATCATCATCAACTAGCCTCTAACGTCCACTGCTGAACATAGGCCTCTCGCATGCTTTTCCACTTAGTCCGATTTTGCGCCATCTGAATCCAATTTGTAGTCATTTTTTTTATGTCATCTGTCCATCTCGTTGGGGGTCGACCTCTATTTCTGTAAGCTTGTATTCGGGGTCTCCATTCCAAAATTCTTTTTGTCCACCGGTCATCAACTGATCTTGCTACATGACCTGCCCAGTTCCACTTTAGTGTTGTTATCCTTTCAATAACGTCTGCTACTCCTGATCTTTTGCGTATAGTAGCATTGGGTATTCTATCACGTAGAGAAATCCCTAACATAATTTTCTCCATTGCTCTTTCCGCAACCTGTAGTTTACTCACTGTTGTTCTTGTGAGCCTTAGGGTTTCTGTGCCGTAGGTCATCACTGGCAAAATACATTGATTAAATACTTTTCTTTTCAGACACATTGGAATCTTAGACCTAAAAATATCCTTCATCCTTCCAAATGCAGCCCAAGCGAGGTTTATTCTTCTGTTCAGCTCGATTGTTTGGTTGTCTCGACTTGTTCTGATCTCATGGCCTAAGTATTTATAGGAGTCAACTGGCTCAATATCTTTATCTTCTACTGATATGTTTTTGTTGTGGACTAAATTTGTCATAAATTGTGTTTTTGAAAAAATTATTTTAAGACCACCTCTTTTTGTGGCAGTATGGAGTTCTTGGAGCATTATCTGTGCCTGATCAAAGCTGTCTGCAATAAGAACGATATCATCTGCAAATTTAAGGTTCTTTAAAAATTTTCCATCCACATTGATGCCCTTTTCGTTCCAATCTATTGTTTTACAAGCGTATTCTAGCAAAGTTGTAAATAATTTAGGAGACATGTTGTCTACTTGCCGAACGCCTCTTTCAATACGAAAAGTCCCAGTATCTTCATTAAGTCGTACACAGGCTGTAGCATGTTGATAGATGTATCTGATGATGCAAACAATACCGAGACTAAATAAAATTGTAGCAGAAAAAGAGTACGCGAAGTAGAGAACGCTACGTCAGCGGAGAGAGGCAAACGGTCTTCGTTGTCAGCGCCATAGGAAATTCGGTTATACGAACATTCGGAAAGACCATTTTATCAACAACGGATCGAAAGGCTGCATGAGAACTTCCTACCCATCGGAATAGATTATATCCGAATCATTTTTAAAGTTTATTAAAAATTTTCAAGACCACGTGAGATCTAAAAGAGACGATCCTTGTGTGTTTGTTTTGGACAACCATGAATCACATTTTTCTATTAAAGTGCTTAATTTTTGTAAAGAAAATGGTATCGTCATATTGCCCTGATACCTCTTGACAAATCAGTCTATTAATCTTTTAAAAATTTTATTTTGCTTTAGTTGATGACTGGATGACGAACAATCCAGGTAAAATAGTGACAATTTACGATAGTCCTGTCGTCGTGAAATTGACACTTACCAAAGCAATAAATTCTATAAATAATATTTCTTGATTTTAAGTTACAGGAATTACGTTCTACAATATAGACATGTTTACTGATGCTGACGTCTTGTCAAGCTCAGCTACAGATAGAGATATGACTTTTCAAAACAGTGGTGTCGAAACTACCCAGGCTGTGACTTGCATCGTTGTGAATATATAGTCAAAGGAACAACAATCTACGTCTTCTACGCATACTAATGTTTCTATATACCTGTTATCGATGAGTCTGAAAAATTGGTCCATATCCAAAGGCTGGAGAAAGGAAAAATAATAAAAAAGGAAATAACCATTGAAATCTACGGTTCTTAAAAGCACGCAGTAAAAGAAAGGCTAGAGAAAGAAGGTAAAGAAACAGAAGCAAAAAATGCTGCAATAGAAAAAATGAAAAAAAAAAAATATATAAAATGGTCAAGACTGGGACAAAAAAAAATGAATTTCAAAACAAACGATATCAAACGGTTCGATATAGCGAACCATTTTAACGTAAGCATAATAACAGTTTTTAATATTACTTAATAAAATATGGAGAGAAGAAGAAACTCTCGAAAGAAAGCAAGGTTCTGGAAGACCAAAAATATCTATAGCTCATGAACACCGTAAGCTTTCAGAGAGATTAAAAGAGAATCCTTTTGAAGATGCGAAAACTACAAGAATTATGTCACAGTTTCTAGGAAGAAAGACAACAACTTGGCGCAGAATTAAAGCATCGCGTCTTAGGTACCGAGCTCAAGCAAAAAAACAAGCTCTTACACCACAACAGAAGCAATCAAAACTTATATTTGCTTTAAACCATTAGCTACAAAATCAAGATTTTTGGGACAGGGTAATATTTACAGATAAGAAAATTTTTCAGTCTTCTAAAAAGGCAAAATTAGGGTGTATAGACCAGATAATAATAGATAATCCTCTATATATTGATAGATATTGAGCAGCTGCTCATTTTAACGCCAATGTATGGGGATGGAATGGCGTAGTGATGGCAGATTTATTGAACAGACTTATCTGAATATTCTAGAAAACTATATATTTCCCAGTGTAGAACAGTTGTATCCGGAAATTAACTTTATTCTCCAACATAATTGTCCTGTTCACACTG